TTTTGGAAACAACTTTCATGCATTAGGCAACAGTTATTTTAAACTGTTGTTGTAAATAATTATGGCAGCGCTTTTCTTAGGTAGCACTTTTTAACTTATGCAAACACTTATTCAACAACTTTAGGCAACATTTTCAAAGTTAAAGCAACAATTTTTGCTTGCTAATTTAAAGTAACACTTAATAGCTTGATACTAGTTAATGTTTAAAATTAAGGCAACACTTTATTTTGTTTATGGCAATGCTTCCAATTGAAACTAAGGCGACACTTTTAAACCTGTTAATGGAAACGCTTTTAATTGGAATTAAAGCAATAGATTATATACTGCATATAATAAATAAATTGCTTAAATAGCATATGATCGATAAACTTTAGCTTAGTATAAGTTCTCCATAAAAATTTATACATATTTAATTAAAATCAATTCTAAATGATAAGCTAAATATTTATTACAAACAAAAAAAACATTTAATCTAAATATTTCATACATTAATCTAATAAAAATTCCAAAACCAAATTAAAAAAACCAATCTAATATTTTTGCTCAAATTCCAATAGATCTTTAGATGTTTGATGGAGGACTTGATAGTTGGATATAAATAATCTCCTGCAAAACAACAACAACAACAACAACAACAACAACAACAACAACAACAACAACAACAACAATAATAATAATAATAAGACTCTTATATTCAATTAAAAAATAAATCTCAAATGAATTATTTATGGAAAATTATTATCAGAATACTAGAAATTACTATTGTAGTGAGTAAATAATGAAAAAAAATCATCTAAAAAGGGAAGATGGAGGTACCGTAGCAACATCATAAGAGTATAAAGAAGTAACATCAAAGGATCATAAATTTGTATAATCATAGATACTACAATATCAAAACACTAGCACGATTTGGCTAAGCTAACATCATAAATTTTGATGCCCAGCTTCGAGAAGAGGAAAGAGATTGAGTTTTTAATCGTATAACTAACTAAGAAATAATGCTAGTAAGCACATATTTATAACACAAAGATCAAGTTTCTTGATTATCCATTATACCATATAAAGTAGTACTTGAACAATATTGAACAAATATGTAAATCACTGGCATGCATATATGAGCTTCTTAACATCCTGCAAATTCCAAGGCCTTTTTTAGCATATGTCCACACATAAAAATATATAATTCAAACCACCTAAGTATGATCTTTGTCCTGACATCCAACTCAGCAAGCAAAGGCATTTTAAGTTAACTAGTATAGATGCCCAACAATCACGCTGCTTAGAATTTCAATAATATAATACACCATTTCAAATTCTTAAATCACATGTAACAATGTAAAAATTGAAAAAGAAAAAAGGAATGTAACATGTAAAATGGAATAACATACATGTTCATAATCTTAAATAATATAGTTTATGGATCATTTGTAGTCGTTGAAACGATAGCTTTTGCAATAATTTCTGGAGTTAAGCTAGGATCTTTTTGGCGTAGTTATGCAAGTGCTGATATTACTGCATCAAGAGTTTTATTTCCCTGATGATTTTCAATATCCATGCGTATTTCTTGAAGTTTTAAGGTCTCAAATTCAAGCTCCTTTGTTTTCCTCTCTATTTCAGCTTCTTGTGCAGCAACGTGTATGGCATGAACTTCTTTTTCCTTGGCAAATTCTTCAATTTCAGCATTTATATCCTTTTGAACATCAGCCGTTATAGCACTTTTGATAGACTCCATGACCTCTTCTGGTAGAATCAAAGGGGTACCAGGTCCTTTATCTTTTTGCTTCTTACGAGTGGCACCAAGTCCTTGTAATTATTCTGTACCTCGACGTGCATTTCCCATAACTTCATCAAATGTGTCCTTAACAAATTCACCACTCTAATCATCTTGAGAAGCTTCCAATTCCCTCATTGCTTGCTATAACAATTATTAAATATTATAGGTGACAAAGTAAACGATAAATTTATTCATTAAATAATTTAATAGGAATAATATAGTATTTACTATCTTTTGTTGTGTATCATCATAAGGTCGATCATAAGTCCTTCCCTCCTTTTGCCGTCGAGTCTCTTCAAATATTCTTCTTTTTTTATGGTGCCACACCATCTTTTCGTAGCTAATAAATAAACAAAAATAAAATATATAAACAACATAGAATCCATGAAATAAAAAAACCGTAATATATGTGGAATGTATTTTGCACCAATTGCTCATGTTTCATGACTAAGGAAACAAGACCATTTGTATGTATGTTGTCTTATTCACGTCGATTTTCAGAATTCTGCAAACTGGTTTTCTACATAAAATAAAAATGGATAAGCATAAAAGTCAAGCAAAATTTAGAGAGTTCCTAATTGTTCAATTATACCTTTTCTATTGTTGTCCCCCAATAAGCTAAAAGTGTTTTGTAATGTGCTTCAGGCACTCTTTCATGAGGATGCTTTAATCTTTCTTCATAGGTATCATACATATAATAATGATCTCTTTTGAGGCGACATTTGAATCCTCTCCAAGATTGATCAAGAGTCTCCATCACCCAATCCTTAGCTTCAACTGGAAGGATGTACTTGCTCTAAAATAAAGGTTAGGTTTATGTTATAAAATCCAATATTAAAACACATATAAAAGTAAACTTATGTTGTAGACTCAAAACGTTACAAATAAGAGAAAAGAACACTTACATTCACAAATTCCCAAATTTTCTTCTTATTTGGAACTTTTTTCGAATTTGTGTATGTCAAGGGAGCCCAATTGTAATCATGAGCAATAGTTCCTAAGAATCTAGTTATCTCTTTCTTTTCCTTTTCAGGCCCGATAGGTTGTCCTTTGTTATTATAATAGATAGTTACACGATCTTCCCATTTGCGAGCATGGACATTAAACAAACTTGTTGGACCTCGCCCTTTCTTCTTAGGAACTTTTATCCAAGTAAAAACAGAATAATTAATTCATAAGAAATTTGAAGATAAATATAAAGATTACAATCACAACTTTATTAATGTAATTACATGGCATTGAAAAGTTCATAAGTAAACATGTGACAAGAATTTAATAGTTTTTTAGGCATTAACTAGATCAATTTGACAACTAAATTTAAAGAATTGCAATCTTTTTTTGTATTGTATAATTCTAGAGAACTATGAAACCATGTCTTATGCATCATCAGGCCTTGCATCAACAGTAGCAGGCTCTGCATCAACAACGGCAACAGACCCTGCACTAGCAAGGTCCCCTTGATCAACACAAGCAGTCACATATTGCCTTGTGCAGCAGCAGCACCTCCCAACCTCAAATAACTTCAACCCGTACAAAACTATGTTTGATTGTGTAATGATAATTATATTAGCTCAAGTTGTTCATTGTTTACTACTAATTAATACTTATATAATAAGAGAAGAAGCAGATTATAGAAGGAGATTATAGAAAGCTCTCTAACCTTGGATTTCATAAATAAAAAGGTTACAAGACCATAAGATTTTTCATGATTTTTAAAGGGGTGGTGTATTGAATACAAACCTTGTGCAAAAATAGATTCTCCTCGACTTTCTAGTTGAATAATGGTCGAAAGTAGACGCTTAGAATTTTTTGAACTTGCTCCAATTGTTGTACATCTTGCTCTATTTATTGCACTTCAGCTGGATCCATTTGATTTTGCGTAACAAGGAAATCATCCATTGCCATAGGTGGGCACAATGGCTGCTTCTTATTCTTCCTGGTGGTAGCTCTCTAGTTCTTACCTTCTATCATCGGAACATCAAGGTAATTATTATCAAAGATAAACATGATCCTAAGAAGAAAGTAAAAAAATTAAGGAAAAAGAAACCTTCTTCTTAGGTATAGAGGTTGCTGCTTCAGTTAAAAACATCTCTCTCTCTCTAGACATCTCAAAGTCCTCAAGGTCACAATTTTCTTTATCAGGCACATAGTCTGGATCATCTACATTAGAATTCATATTCTCCTTTCCTTTTGCAAAGTTCTTATTATTTTCCAACAATTGTTGAGTGATCTTGTCGAGCCCTAACTCTCTAAATTCTCATAAGGTGTTAAAATGGACTTTAAGGAAATTTCAGGCTTCTTACTTCCATTCTTATTCATTCTGCAAACAAATATTATAAACAATTAGTGGGAAAAAAAGTTTAGACCTATCAAATAGCACTTACTACAAAATAGTTAAACATATTTTTTCAAATATAACACATACAGACATACTTAATACTTAAAAATTTATAAGTATATATCTGATTCCTGACCAAAGCAAATATATTCAGGTTTTGGGAAAAAATTAGAAAAAACAATCTTATTCACTAAAAAGATAATAATTTATAGGAAGTCCAAATATGATAACTAATTACTACAAACAAAAGCTAAATCAAATGGTTCAGTCAACAAGTCTAATAACATAAGACAGATAATAATATGATAAAATCGCATTTTTTTTAAATAAATACAATTGCTCAAGATTCATTAATAATCCTATGGGTCATGAGCTAGAATATCATTTGTCGCATCCATCCAATCCCAATCTATATCATCATAGTCAACGTCATCTTCGAGGTCATTAACATTCTCATACTCTAATAAATCATATATGTTCACAACACGCACTTCAACATCAGCTACTACATGAATATGATTAGCATCAAAAGAAGGCATGTTACACTAGTACAAAAAAGGGTTTATAGAACAGTTAAAATAGGCTTTATAAAACGCCTCAGGACTGTTCTTCTGATAAGCGATGTGTAAGGTTTATAGAACAGTTAATGTAGGCGTTTTGTATACTTAGCTATAGAGAACGGTCCTAAGACACAAGCGTTCTCTATTCCCTAAATTCAGAAAATAAAGAAGGGATAAAGAACGGTTAATTCTCTTGACAGTTCTATATTACAACACTATAGAGAACGTTCAAGTCAGATAACAGTTCTCCAATCCTTTTTTTTAAAAAAATAAAATAAAATTGTGTATACATTATTCTAATGTATACAAATACTGTATTTAGTTTTTTTGCTGCATTATTAAGGAAAATATTAATAAGGAAATACAGTTATATTGATTTCGAACTTTAAAATTTAAAAATGAATATATAAAAAATTAAACCAATATTACAATAAATTTAGAATGAAAATCACGAAAAAAATTAATAGAGGTATTGTACAAAAACATAACAAGCGAAATAAATTCAACAAAAAAAAAATTTCTTCATTCAATTGTCTAACTTCTTCTTTTCGCGCTTGCTTTGATAGTTGTAAATCTACAAAACAAATAGAACTTTGTTACTCGCATTTGACTAAAAATAATTCAAACGTTAAAAAAATAAAATTAAAAAAATTAAAAAAAAAACCTACCAAGAATTCTATGCTATGAAATTTGAAAGAAAAAATACAATTATAAATGAACAAATTATCTGGCATCAAAAAAAAATTTACCTTAGTCATATGATACGAAGTAAATATAGATCCATATCATCAATGGGTATTCAAATCAAATTCCCAGTGATCCCAATTCATAAGTTGAACAAGATCTCGCTTGAAGCATCTAAGATTCAATATGTAACACAGATTCAAAACGGTTTCAATCGGAACACAAAATTAAGATCTAAACAAAAATCCCAATAAACATACAAATTCACAAATTTATTCCAAATAGGACCCAATTAATTGAAAACAAAGAGCAAAACGCATACCTTGACCAGATTGAAAGAGCAAAAAGGGGGAAAACAGGAACAAAAAAATAAAGGGAAAGAAACTGATGATCAGAGGTGTTAATAAATCGGCGATATTACAACCAAAAAGTAAAATTCAATATAAGTTAGATAGTACTATTGAATTTATATGGAAAAAAAAAACGCCAGAGAAGTGAGATCTTAATTAAACCTACAGATGAATAACTAAACAATTTTAACACTTAAATTAGCTAATAGATAATAAATTCACATGGAACATATTTTCCCTACCTTAATTAACCATCAATCGTGAAGATTCTCTTGAACCACATGGATATATGTTCATGATTGTGAAGATTGTCTTGAACAAACAACCAGAGATAAATAAAACAGTAGAAGCGACAATAACAATGGGAAGCAAGAGAAAGAGTTAGGTTTTTTTAGACTATGATTAGGGATTAAATAAGAGGAAAACACTTTCAATAGACTACTCCGTGGTATAAAAAAGGCTTTTTAATTAGTGGGTATCATACTATACAAAACGGTCGTAATTAACACTGTTTTCTATCTTAATAATATTATTATTTTAGTTATCTTTTATTTGGGTAAAAAAATAAAGAACGGTTAAACTAGTGAACCGTTCTATATTCTTTCACATATAAAACGGTTGTAATAGAAAACCGTTCTATTTTATTCTAGGGAACGCTTTTCTTAGTTAACCGTTTTATATATTGCGTTTCTTATTCCACTTTTTGTAGTAGTATGTGTTATTAGAACTAGAATCAATAGGCTCCTCCCAATATGTTTCTTCATTTAGTGCTTCCTCAAAGTCAAAAAGATCTCTTGGAACCCTTTTCATGACATATTGAATATCTTTTTCTAATGGGTCTTGGGAATAGTATACTTGATGAACCTGAGATGCCAATGCAAATGGATCATTTTTGGAACATTTCTTCTGCGATCTTGAAATTGACATATGTAAGCCCAAATTCATCAATATCAACAAGAAACCAATCGAACTTAAATAACAAAACGCTGAATTGAGACCAAAAGTCCAACTCAAAAATTTCTTCTATTACACCATAGTAGGTAACATCTCCGTTCGATGGGATTTCAATCCCTTAAACTGGCATAACTTGAAGTCAAGGTTGTCAAAGTCACACCACTATTTTGAGTCTTTAATCGTGAATCACGTTCTCTAGTGTAAAACCTATAACCATTGATAAAATACCCAGTGTACCTCCTAGCCTTAGGATTAGGACCCTTAGCCACCCAAAAAAGTTCCTCATTAACCTGCTCCCTTTATACTTTTTCAAAAAACAAATCAATAAAATCTCTGCTATGACTTTGTGCACTATCCCATCTACGCTTTCGACCTTGGCTATTCAACCAAATATGATGTTCTCTAAATTATTAAAATAGAGAAAAAATCATTATTTTTATTAGATTAAATTATAAAAAAATCTAAACTGAAAATAAATTAACAAAAAAACTCTTACTTGATATATGTTTCAACTGTTGTATTGTCGTAATTGAAGACAATATATCTATGAGCTTGCTTCAGACTTTGGAAATCTAAAGTAAATCCTTTTCCTTTTCTCTTCCTTTTCCCTCCAATAGGATGTCATACTTTGGAAACAAAGATAATTCATTTGCATGCTGATTAAAGGAAAAATTCCTAGCACATCTTCTATCCAATCTAGTGTTTACACCTTCACGCAAATATCGAGAAATAAATTTCAAACACTCTTCCATCATATACCCTTCTACTATACTTGCTTCAAGATTTATCCTACTTCGAACATAGGACTTTAGCTTACCTAAATACCTCTCAACAAAGTACATCTATTGATATTGCACAGGTCCACCAAATTTGATTTCCTCTACTAAATGAACAGGTAGATGGATCATAACATCAAAGAATGCAGGAGGGAATATCATTTCAAATTGAAAATATATATCGACAACTTCAGTAGCTAACCTATCTAATTCTTAAACATCAACAATTTTACTACATATACCATGAAAAAAGTTCCCCAATCTAGTCAAAGGTACTGCAACATTTTTTGGCAATGTATTCCCGACAGCAACTTGAAGCAAGTGATGCAATACGACGTGTGCATCATGAGTTTTGTAGCCAGAAAAATTCTTTTCTTTAACATGCACACACCTCCCGATATTTGATGCATACTCATAAGGTAACTTTGTTTCCTTAAGAACTTTGAGAAATAAATCCTTCTTTGTATTACTCATAGAGCAAGATACTGGTGGAAATAGCATGTGGCTGCCATCTTCAGATGGACAAGGTTGGAGATGTGGTTTTATACCAAGATCCAACAAATCCAAATGTGCCTTATTGTGGTCTCTAGTCTTTCCTAGAATATCTAACAAAGTGCTAACAATATTATCGAAGACATTTTTCTCGATATGCATGACATATAAATTATGATGATATTTAATATTAGACCAATAAGACAGTTGAAGAAATCCTGATTTCTTTTTCCATGGACCTTTACCACCTCCACCTTTACCGTTCTTCCCAAAATCATTTTCAAAGTTTTCTAATTCATTCATTAAATCATTACCATATAACGTAGAAGGTGCACACCTATCCTCTACTTCTCCAGTAAATGAATTTGTATCTTTCCGCCAAGGATGATCCATATCAAGATGCCTTTGAATATCCATGTAACAATTCTTTTTGCTTTGATACAAGTATTTAGGTTCCACATCATGGTTACAATTAAGGCATGCATAATTTCCTTTATTAGACCATCCAGACAACAAGGCATAAGCCGGAAAATCATTTATTGCCCCCATTAATGCAACATGCAATTGAAATGATTGTTTTTAGATGCATCATAAGTCTCAACCCCAAATTCCCATAATTCCTTCAATTCGTCAATTAGTGGTTGCTAAAAAACATCTATGTCGATTCCTGGTGACTTAGGGCTAGGAATTAACAAAGACAACATAAAATATTCCGGTTTCATATAAATCCAGGGTGGAAGGTTGTAATTAATCAACACAACAGGCCATGTGCTGTGATCAACACTCATAGATCGAAATAGATTGAATCCATCACCAGCAAGAGCTAAACATACATTTCATGCTTCATTTTTAAAGGCAGGATATGATGAATCAAAGTCCTTCCAAGATTGAGCATCTGCCAGATGTCTAATTTTGTAATCTTTTATTCGGCCTTTATCATGCCAAACCATTTGTTTAGCTGTTTTATAACTCATGAATAGTCTTTGCAGTCTAGGTTTTAAGGGAAAATGTCTTAAAGCTTTAACAGGAACAATGTTAGACTTTCACCTAGATGTACCACACTTAGGACAAACATCGGCTCCTTCAAATTCCTTTCTATAAAGAATACAATCATTGGGACAAGCATGAATTTTTATATAATCAAGACCTAAATTCTTCACTATATTCCTAGATTCATTAAATGATTTAGGAAGTTTGGCCATTGGAAATGCCTTTCTTAATAGCTCTAGAAGATCACCAAAGGCTACATTGCTTAAGCCATTAAGGCATTTAAAGAGAAACAAACGAATTATGAAAGACAATTTCGAGAAAGTTTTACAACCTTGATATAGCTCTTTCTTTCCTTCTTCCACTAAATGAAAAAACTTTCTAGCCTCCTCATTTGGCTCACTTTCAACCTCATGATCTCTATTTAGACCTTCACTGACATCTCTAAAAGTATCATGTAGTAAGCCATAAATATCATCATGTGTACTTTGATTATTTACTTCATGAACATTTTGCCTATCATTATTTGTAAAAGAATATCCCTCCCTTTGCAAGACCCACTTCTTGAATCCCTTCAGAAACCCATTAACAATCAAATGATCATATACGTCATCTCTAGAATGGCAAAAACTCCTCGAACACGTTTTATACGAGCAAAATAATTGAACTCCAATGGCGTCCTTAGCAAAAGAATCATCAAGGAAAAAATTCAAAGCAACTTTAAAGTCCTCCGAACTTCTAGGATAGTTCATCCAATTATGATCCATAACTTAATTTATGTCAATTCCTAAATTACACAAGCAAATTATTTAGAGACCTATCTATATTATGAAATGAAATAATAGATTTGTTAGATATTAATTGGAAAAATATACAGTACTAAAGTTGAAAATAGAAATCTCAAGAAAATAGATATAAAGATCATCAATGATATCTAAATACATACACATATTAGTTATAAACCCTAATCTAGTACATATAAGGTTATGATTATTAAGATCAAAAGTTATATATAAGAAGAGAATAATTAGTTTTACACACTAACTAGACTAAAAGTTACAAAGTCTTTAAATAAAACTTCAAATAAGAAACCACTAGCTATGAAATAAAAGTTAGTTAGACATGATTCCATTAACTCATAATAATTCCCGACTAATAAGAAATATGTTACTGGTCTATAAGGAAAACTTTTTGGCATCAACAATCTCTAGCTTATAACTATCTTTAGGTCCACATACGCTTAATCTCTTTAAAATATAAGATTGATAAAGTAAAATTATACTCTCTAAAAACTTAATTATTGTGCACTATCAAATTTAACTTTAACTCACTTTTTAATGATTCTTCACATCATCTTGTCTGGTTGTCCTGATATAGTTTCAATTATGTGATCCAATTCTAATGGATAATGAATAAGATCTAAACTTTACGTATCACACTAAATAAATTGTAATGTTGTAACAAAATTCCACTTAATTGCATTGCTTATGTTATTGGGAAAGTCATGTTCTTTAAGTGGCATTAATTACTAAAATAGTGGTTAAGTTAGTTGTAATCATATGCTCACAGGTAGATATTTATAATTTTCTAGTACTTCTTACGAAGTAGTTTTTATATGGAGCATACTTCTTAATTTTCCAATTTCTATATAATTGTAGATTTTAAGATATGATAAAAATAAAACTAATAAAAATATAAGTGTGGATCATCATGTGTTTATGATGTATTATAACTATTGCTTAACACAAATAATTACATCAAAACAACTTAAATTTTGAGAATAATTTTTATTTATAAATGAGAATAACATATTTAAACTCTAGCCTTTCGGCTAATGAACATAAGCTACTTATTGTGAAATATGAATCTGATTGAATGTTTGTACATGAAAGAGTGCAGCCAAAATTATTAGTTTATATGTTTCTGTTAACAATAGCTAACTAGTGTAATTGCTGGTTTAATTCTATATAAAGCTTTTGAGTTTTAACTGTAATACTTAAACTATATTGCATTGGCTAAAATGGTATCAATACTGAGAGATTATTTGAGAGACAAGCCTTGGGTGGAACTTTTGTGTAATCATTTAAGGTAATTCCTAAAACTGTATTTGAAGAGAAAGATGGACTTAAATAGGGAAGATGAGGAAAATAAATTTAAAAGAGTTTTGGGCAATTGTAAGCGTCGCTCGAAGTGCGCCTATGTTAA